CATTGTTAAAGTTTATAAATTCAAGTTATTTTACATTTTCATATGTTTCAGTAATTTTTCATAATAAATGGGGTAGGGGAGATCTGAAAGCTCTAATATGACCATTGGTGGTCCAATATACATTTTTTGTATCTGAAATGGAAGAAGACATGTACAAGAACAGATTTGATCAAAATTGCAACAACCAGTGAACATTAAACTTAAGATATAAGGAACTATATGTTACTGCTGAAAGCGAAAATGATCAAAAATGCCATATTTTGTCCTTAATTATCTTATTTCTAGACACTAGTACACTAATGAAGGTCCTTAAACATCTGAAAAACATCAAATAATACATAGTGTTAATATTAAATAGCTAGAGTTTTGTTTGAGTTGAACATTTTGACTTTTTGTAGTTTCCATTTTTAGCCTATTTTTTCTAAAAAATTCAAGGTATGTCTTCTTCGGACCAATATTTAGATATGTTCGCAAGAGTTCTATGCTTCGCAGGCGAAATCCCTTATGCAGGAAACCCTAATAGAATGAAAAATACAGAGAAACTCCATCCAGCTCACAAAGTCATTTTTTGCACAATTCTCACACCTACTTTCAAGTCTTTCATAAGGACCATGTACCAAAATTGTAGGTTAAACAGTGCACAATTGGATTTTTTCATTAAAAGTGTGCAGTATTTGAAGATTTGCTGTCACAATTTCACTATTGCTTACATATATACCAATGCTATCCTTTCTGTATGGGAATAGAGTACCATTATAATGGGTCGTCTTTATTATTGCTATAGGTCTGAATTGGTAAAGGGTTTAAGGATAAACAGGTGTCTGAGAATGACACCAAACCTTGAAACAATAGATATCTAATAGATTCTTCAACCATATTGATTTAATTCTGACCCTAAAGAACTGTATATCCTTGTTGAGACAATACATCATAAAAATTGATTAGGCATGTGTCATTAGAAGAAATCTCCCTCTGTTTCCATGGGAACATCAAAATTTCAATAGGTTTATTTCAAATCGATGCATAGGCACAAGTCACACATTGTGTATTTCTGATCCCAACATCTTTATATAGATTGATTAACAATTCAGTCTTAATCCATTGTTAGCTTCTTAAATAATTGTTGATATTTAGTTTTTATTTTTCTTTAATTTATATTGTTTACTTAGAAAGTTCTGGACATCAATGTCCTTATTATTCACTGATATATTATCATTAAATGCTTTGTTTGAATTGAGTATTTTATTTAATTATTTGTAATTGAAATATAGTTTGGCTTGTATCGTTAACAGATGTTTGTCCTCAAACTCAAACTCAAAGTCAGTCATGTAATATTAACTTGTATACTTGTGAAAATAACAGGAGGGTTGCATAACGACAATAAACGTTTTGGTACAGTATATTACAAGAAAAACCTTAGTTTATTTGAAAAGTAGGGAATCCTTCCTTGATATGTATCCGGTTCAGTCCCAGTATATTTTTTACTATGAGCAGTGTATTCTAAGATATAGACATATTCATCTTCAACTGTAATTAAAGTTACGTCTTATCAGAGGCACACAGCCGTCTTGGACCATAACTCAGGAGACATTCACAATTATGTTAATCCTAGACCTAAACATCATATTGATCTCACAGTTCAACATGGTTCCTGGTGCTCTAAAATGTAATTTGACAAAAGTACAATATTGAGAAAGATGGCCTGACAATTTGATAATAGTATACATTCATCAAATATCTCCATGTGTGTGATGCTCTCTAATCTGGTGATTAATACACACGGTTTGCTTCATCATGCTCCCTCTAAATATACACCATTGTAACAAGTAGCCATTTCATCATGATTTTTTATGATAAAAACTATGTTGTAATTAATTGCTGTTGTGACTGTGTTACTGACAGATGGTTGGGTCAATGTTGATGAACCCTCTACTCTCTCATCTAGGAATCATCTATTACTCATACATTTCTCACATATTCCTCATATATTTCCCACCTATTTCTCATACATTTCTCACCTATTCCTCATGTATTTCCCATCTGTTTTCCTTTACATTACCTCATATATTTTTATATTTCTCCCATTTTCTCATACATTTCCCCACTTATTTTCCATAGATTTCCCATATAATCTTCTGATCTTCTCATGGAATCTAAGACAAAATTTTGAGGGGCCTTGTTTATGATTTCATGGAAATTGTAGTTTTTGAGGAATTTTTCTTTGAATACCAAGTGGTCTCTAGAGTCAACTTGCTGAAGATTCAGCTGGAATAGTAAAAATCAATTCATCAAAACCTGCCGGAAATGAATGTGACTAAAATATTAATCACTCAGAAATTTCTGTTTTTTCAACTCAAATTAAAGCACTTTTAATTTGGAAGGGTGCATAAAAAATGTGATGAGTTGATTTCATTGCTGACCTCTTGAGGATATAACAATCATATCTTTGTGTGTGAATATCTTCAGCTTACATCTGTGTATAGAAAACACATATTTGTGATAGGCAAAAATTGAGAATATTTCACGAGTATGAGAAATATTTCTGTCGTCCATATGCTACCAAACCGTGTGTTAAGTGCATACCTTATAAATATTTTCACTCAACAGTATCTTAAATTCTTCTCTTATTCTATCAAAGGAATTAAAAGAATTTTGAATATATTTTAACTGGCAGATTTTCTGATTTTCTTTTTGAATGATAGACTTTGAAATTATCTGATTCCGGGAATGAATTATCTTGATTTGGAAGTGGTTGCTAGGTGATGGGTTTAAGGTATTGTCCAGTGTGTCCGAGCCACCTTAGGAACACCCTGTAGCACTTGTCTTCAAGTAACAGCTGTTAGCAGGTCTGTAGTCTAGTCTCCACCATTGTTCTCTAGGATACACCTTTTTTATGATCTATGACTCATGTATGACAGTATATCTTTGAATTGACTTATTCTAAATGGAATCATAAATGTAATAAAAGATGAAAAGGTTCAATTTTCTGCTATTGATACATTTTAGTTTTTGCTAGATGTCTCAAATTCTTTATCCCATTGGAAGTATGTTAGCAAAAGGCAGATGGTCTATTTTTATTCTGTTGTATTTAGTAGACTAGTGAGTGTCCCAAGAAATGGCCAAGGTGTCACAGATGTGCATCATAACTTGAAAAATCTTCAAATCGCTTCACAGATTTTCAATTGATTTCCTTTGTAAAGTTTACCTTGGTATGAATTGTTCGTTTAAGTGGTGGTATACATGGAAATTTGGCGGGTGGTATATGTTTCCCGTTGGTACCTCATTCTTTCATATGTGATAAGGTCCAGTAGTTTATAGATTTAAATGTGGACCCCTGATATTTTGGCGGCTTCTGTTAATATAGTTAGAACTGAATTTGTTTGAAAGAATCAATGCTAAAAATGATTATTTGAACTTCTTGTAAAGTTCAAACATAATAGGCCTAGTTTTCAAATGAACTATGTAAATGGAAGTCTTTCTATAAAAAGTAAATATGCAGAGTATTTGAATTGGGTCTTACTTTAGTTATTCAAAGACTTTCTGACCAGACTTTAACCTTTAACTTGATACATGTCATGTCTCTAGATTTAAATTGTTCATTTTCATCCACCAGATCCAGATTTTAGCTACAGTGGAATCACATTTCATAAACTTGGTCTGATATGTTTGTTATTTTATTCAAAATTTCTCATAGTGTATCAAACATTTTTTAGAAAAATAAAACTGACAGCTAAGATGTTTACGTTAAGTTATAATGAATTGATGTGTGTCATGGGAAAATGTGTGTTACGACTAGTTATTGTGTTTTAAGGCCCTTGATATGCACTAGAGAACATGTTCACTTTATGTTTGAACAATACAAAGTAATTTTAACATATCAAACTACTTCAAGTCCATTATCAAGTGTTGAAATCTAAACAGATTGTAAAAAATTGTTAAAAATCCTCAAAAGGTTTTTATCGCGATGTTCCCCTCGAATGGATGTACGAGGTCCTGAAATGAAACATCAGTGATACCTGTGACTAATGAAATAAATGGGAGGAATTTGTGAGGAATCCTGAAATAAGAATAACATAAAATTCTAGATAGTGTAGAAATGTAAAGCATACATAACTCAACTAATAAGGAGATAAAATGTGTAATATAACCAAGTGTTTTATGGCTTATTGAGAAATCTAGATTGACTTAACTACACCTAGTTGTCTCGTACTTGACCTATAGGCGACTGAGTTATTTACTATCCCAGGTATAACATAACTATATGAGCCTATCTTGATCCACCAGAGAAAGTTCCCACAATAAACTTGGCTAAGTTACAAATCTCAGTGCATAACATACAGTACTTGAGATACATTTCAAAGCCAATATTTAATCTTTGCCAAATAGTTTAATAATCAAAGACAAATGTTGTATTTATGAATAAAATAATAATGTTGTCAATTTTATTGTAAAGACAACTATGATAAACTATAATTTTATGATTAATTATCTTAATATTAAGGTTAATTTCCACTAATCATCTCTTTAAAATAATATTATTGTACACTGATCTTCAACTTTCACACATTTTAGAATGGCTTATTGAAGACAAAGTACTCAACCCAAAAATAAACTACATGTATAACCAAATAAAGGCACCTATAGTATATGCAGTACAGTAAAACTTGTCTGTCTGAATGCTAATAAGGCTCACAAAACTGTTATCTCCTTTTCACAACCTTCATTTAACTTCATTGGATGTTTCTGATCACATCTGAATCCTTTTTCAATTGTTAGAACTCAACTGAACTACTAAGGCTGGCAAAAAGTGTTTGGATTTGCAGGTTTTTACCTTTCAAAGGTTTTATTATCTGGTAGTGTATGGCAGATTAAAAAACTGGGCTGAAATAGGTGTTCACATTGAGATGTTCGGATGTACAGGTTATGTACAGGTTAGGTTTTACTGTTCTTCCAATAAGAATACACATTGTAATACTCATGTAATATTTCTATATTTTAAGGTTATGTTGGAATATTCTGCGAAGAAGACTTTGATGAGTGTTCATCGAATCCATGTCAGAATGGAGGTGTATGTAGTGACAGTCTTCAGATTGCATCGTTCAAGTGTGATTGCCCAGAGGGCTACACTGGTGCAACATGTTCCATCAACATAGATGAGTGTGCATCTTCCCCATGTTTGAATGGTGGGCGGTGTGTAGATGAGATCAACAGTTATAGATGTCAGTGCTTGCAAGGTAAGAATATACAACTACATCACCTATTAGTATAGTTATTTTTATTCATATCATAACTAACAATATATACAATATATCGTAGCCTTTTTTATAATGATGAATTTTATCTACAAATGAATTTCATTAATATTTATAAAAACATACATGTGGAGTCAGTTTACACATTAAATATATTATGAAAAATAAGGAACCTTGTGGTGTTTGTGACCAGGGTATCATGTCATACCTGTGTATATTATAAAATATTGAACCCTGTGATGTCTGTGTGTAGGCTATGAGGGCATCAACTGCCAGAGGAACAAGAATGACTGTGAGGGAGTCAGTTGCTACAATGGTGGCATCTGCATGGATGGATTAGGAACATTCACCTGTAAGTGTGCTGATGGCTTCGCAGGCAACCTTTGTGAGACAGAGATTGATGAATGTGCTAGCAACCCCTGCCAGTATGGTGGAACATGCAGAGACTACAGGAATGGTTACATCTGTAGCTGCCCACAAGGTACAAACTACTTTCCCTAGACCTCAATTAAGAGTTACATTTACAGCTCTTGGATTGTTCATGTGGGGGCTATCTTGTAATATTCTAGTGCTAGCATCCAAAAAAGAAATAAGAATTAGTGTTTTAATTTTTCGATTATGATTATTTCAGTTCTGTATGAATCTCATAATGAATCATTGTAGAATCCTTTCCTAATGTACATATGAATGTTGCAGGAACATCAGGTCCCAACTGTGAACAGAATGAGAATGAATGTGCCAGCAACCCATGCCGTAACGGGGCCACGTGTCAGGATGGCATCAACAGCTATTACTGCCTCTGTAAGGAAGGCTTTGAGGGCACCCTCTGTGAGATAGACCTTGATGAGTGCCTCTCAAACCCATGTAGGAATGGTGGTACCTGTACCGATGGCATCAATAAGTTCTACTGTGAATGTCCATCTGGTTACTATGACTACCAGTGTGAGAGTAAGATTAATGAATGTGAGAGTTCCCCCTGCATGCATGGAGGGACATGCGTAGATGGCGTCAGCAGATTTGACTGTGAGTGTCCCAATGGCTACACTGGATTCAGGTGTCACACAGAGATCAATGAATGTCATAGCAACCCATGCCAGCATGGAGGAGAGTGCATTGACCAACTGGGGACCTATAGGTGTAATTGTCCTGCGGGATTCACAGGTAAGGCTATCGTGTGATTTTGATAATCATTATAAGTCACTTTACAATGTATGCAGTTATAAGTAAAATAAAACAAAACAGACATGAAGCAAATAAGGGGAATAAAAAGATTGTTGTTTGGCTGAGTAGGTGTTCAGTTGATTTAGACTTGTGTATGTATAAAACAACAAAAGAGATGTAATCATTACTTTGTATCATTTTCCCAGGTAAAAACTGCAGCATCAACATCAATGAATGCAGCAGCAACCCATGTACCTCAGGTAACTGCATAGACCTGGTGGATGACTACAGGTGTATCTGTGAGCCACCATTCACTGGCAAGAACTGTGACATTGAGATGGATCCATGTAATCCAAATGAGTGCCAGAATGGAGCACAGTGTGTAGCTGAGAGAAACTATGAAGACTTTACATGTAACTGCCCACTTGGATTCTCTGGTAAGTTAACATTATATAATATGTGGTAGTTTTAGCACTTTAGGGAAATACATCAGTATTGTGGATTTACATGGGTTTAGAGCCTATTTTTGCAATTCTTATTTTATGAAAGGCTTCTGCTTTTATTATTCAGTTTAATAAAAGATGTGTCATATACTGGAAAAAAGCAATGTGAAGAAATGTTCTGCACTATTTAACATGATACTTTTTTCATTCCCTTGTTTCCTTGAATATAACTCCCTACTTTTTTGTGGCAGGTCGTCTATGTACACAAGACATTGATGAGTGTGAGGACTCGCCGTGTCGCCATGATGGTGTCTGCGTCAACCACAGGGGGTCCTACGAGTGTCAGTGTCCCCGAGGATACACTGGCAAACACTGTGAGACAAACCCCGATGACTGCATATCAGGTATGTCAACTCAACTACATAGCATTTCAGAGCGTTTCACAGAGAATATGGAAAAGTTATATTCCTTTCTTGGTTGGACTTTCAAGATTAAAGTGTATTTATATTATAAAACATAGGATTCTGTTGATTAACATAGATTTTATGGGATTCATAATAAGTAATCGTCATTCATATTTTCAGACCCCTGCGCGAATGGTGGAACCTGCAGGGATGAGATAGGAGGCTACACGTGCCTCTGCGTGGAGGGTTTTGGTGGTCAGCATTGCAATGATGATATTGACGAATGTTCTTCAAATCCTTGTCAACATGACGCAACTTGCCACGATTATGTGAACTCGTACACATGCACATGTCAAGCTGGCTACAGTGGAGTGCAGTGTCACACAAACGATGATGATTGTACTTCAAGGTATGTCTTTGGATCATCATTGTGAAGCCATGAAGTATGTTAAAAACAATGTTTATGTTAATGTTTAATGAAACATTATTTTATGTTACGTGTAGCCCAATAATTGACACCTTACTTATCTCAGTTCACTTAAGTTCACTGTATTAGTTTTAAATCACTGATAAATAAATAAAATAAATTAGTTAGATCAATGAGTTGTCTCACTTGAATTCAAATTATCATTAAATTTAGGTCATTTCAGTTAAAACATTTAATTCTACTCAATTACTTTCTAGTTAGTTTTGAATGAAATGATATGTTTGAATAAACTGTATTTTTATATAATATGTAAATGATTGTTAATTTTTTCGCTCAGAGTAACATGCTCCTAATTGTTCTACTTGTAGCTCCTGCCTCTATGATGGCACCTGCATTGATGGTGAGAACTCATACACATGCGTTTGTGCTCCTGGCTACACAGGGAGTAACTGTCAGACACAGATCAATCCATGCGATGATGACCCATGTAGATCAGGAGGCACCTGTTTCAATGTAGATGGATCTTTCGAATGTCACTGTCCATATGGCTTCAATGGTCCACTCTGTGAGGTAAGTTTAGTGAAGTCTTATTCAGTTATATTCATTATAATGTTTCTCAATGATCATTTTGTGTTATTAGCTTAGTCAGTCAAATTCATTGGAAATGTGACCAAAGCCGCCCAAAGGCCAAAGTCCATTACATTGCTGAATTTTTCCAAAGATATCAGAACTTTGAATTATCTGTGTGTTTGCATTATGACACATTGGTGTAGCTAAATAAACTGAAAAATACTTTACTCTAGTATTAATACTCTATGATATTCTGTTGCTAGAGCTATGTGGATTGGTGTTCTCAGAGCCTTTGTCGCAATGGGGCATCATGCAACCAGGCTGGCAACCAATTTGAATGCAGCTGTAGATCTGGATGGACTGGGGCCCTCTGTGATGTTAGAATGGTCTCATGTGCAGTTGCCGCAGCTAATAAAGGTGTCTCTGTGGAGCAGCTTTGTCAGAATGGCGGGACATGCTCGAACTTTGCCAATGAGCATCGCTGTCTCTGTAGCCCAGGGTACACTGGGAGTTACTGTGAGACAGAGATACAGGAATGTGAGTCCACCCCATGTTTGAATGGAGGAACCTGCAGAGATCTGATCAATTACTACGAGTGTGCCTGTCCCCCAGGATACCAGGGAATGAACTGTGAGTTTGATATTGATGATTGTGCTAAGGAGCCTTGTCAAAATGGCGCTACATGTCATGACCTAGTGAACGCATTCCACTGTTCATGCCCACATGGAGCTATGGGAATGCTTTGTGAGATTAATATAGATGACTGCCTGGAAGGGTCATGCTATCATGGTGGGACCTGTGTTGATGAGGTAGGAGGCTATGAGTGTATATGTCCTGCTGGCTACGTGGGTAAGCGCTGTGAGGGTGATGTCAACGAGTGTTTGTCCAACCCATGTTCAAGTGAGGGCACCATGCATTGTGTACAGCTAGTGAATGACTATAGATGCGACTGCAAGCCAGGCTGGGTGAATAAACACTGTGAAACCAAGCGAGACTACTGCGCCAACAACCCCTGTCAGAATGGAGGAGTCTGCACCAATGGACAGCATGGACCTGTCTGTCAATGCCAACCTGGATACTCATGTGAATTATGCGACTGTATGAATTCTGACTGTGCTAGTGATCCGTGTCAGAATGGAGGACGCTGCTTGCCAAGCCACAGTGGCGGCTACACATGTGATTGCCCATCATGCACCTCTGGGAAACATTGTGAGATTGACGCAGTTGACGAGTGTGGTGACCTTAATCCATGTAAACACGAGGGTGTCTGCTACGATAAAATTTGTAAGAAAATTATTCAAATAATCTTTCCCTTTAACCCACATCGACTCTATATGACTCCAACAAATCTCATAATTCACAATCATTTTACAATTACACATCAAACAGTTGTATTTTCCAGCTGTGTTCCAGTACACACCATTGTTTTTTTCTAAAAAAATATCTCGAGTCAGTTGAAGGTATTTATATATCATTAGTTCAATTGAATATATGTACCTCTTTATCTGATAAATTTCTTTTAACTTGAAGGTAAATACGAGTGCTGGTGTACTAAGACATGGGCAGGGCAAAACTGTGAGCTGTTTGATCCAAACTTTCCTGGTGGTATAGGGGGAGACTACACCCCTGCCCCCACCACTCCCATTCCCATAGAAACTCAGAGAGAGGAGTGTGAACAGAACAAATGTGATGAGAAAGGATACAATGGCAAATGTGATGTAAGGATGTCAAACTCTACTTAATAGTCAATAATTCCCTATAAATTTGAAGTCTGTTTTATTCGGATAGGAATATGCATTTTACACATACTATAATTATAATTATATTTTGATTGACTGTCTCTGAATGATTTTCATCTGACAAATATTATTGCTTATATAAATTTTGATTTTGAAATATTGCCATATTTTCAGGTGGATTATTTCTTAGGATATGTTGTTAATTGTTCATCGACTGTTCTTATAGGTGGAATGTAATACATACGCCTGTGGCTTTGATCATGGCGAATGTACATATGGTCAGCAGATATTCAAGAACTGTTCTGCAAGATCAAACGGCCGCCACTGCTGGGATGTGTTTAACAATAACGAGTGTGATGAAGCATGTAACAACCGCGATTGTTTGTTTGACGGCTATGACTGCAGTCAGCCAACTGAGTCGTGTAACCCAGTCTACAATGCCTACTGCATGAATCACTATGACAACGGCCATTGTGACATTGGGTGTAATACTGAGGAGTGCAACTGGGACGGTCTCGACTGTGAAGAAGGTGATGAGGAACTAGCTGAAGGCATCATGGTCCTCATTGTTGGAGTCTCACCCGAAGCTTTCCTAAACACTGCCACTGCTTTCCTCCGTAAGCTTGGTCATCTATTGAAAACAACAGTGAGAATTAAGAAAGACTCGGAAGGCAAACTTATGGTGTTCCCTTACCCAGATGATACAGTACCAAATAGGGTGAAACGTGCGTTGTCATCATACTTTGCTAGAGGACGCCGCAGTAAACGAGATGTGAACCCCACCCCCACAGGCATGGTCCCCATGCAGAGTAAAGTTTATCTGGTACTTGACAATAGGAAGTGTCATGAGTTTTATGAAGACTGTATCCAGACATCTGAAAAAGCTGCGGAGTTCCTGGCAGCTGCAATAAAACATGGTTGGGATCCTTCCGTACCCATAGAGGAAATCACATCTATAGGAAATAAGCCAGCGCCAACCAGCGATTCACATTATATGCAGATTACAATTGGTATCATTGGTGGTCTGATCTTCATCCTGATTATATTGGGAGTTCTTGTGGTTAACAATCGTCGCAAAACTAGAGCTACAACATGGTTCCCCGAGGGATTTCTCAGAATAGGTGGCAGCAGTGAACCCCACAATGCACCAAGACGAGGACCAGAAGGCGATGAGATGAAGTAAGGGTTATAATTGCTATACTCATCATATTTTCCATGAGCCCCTTGCTTATTAACTTGATGTGTTTTGTTACAAGATTGAAATTGCTTTGAAAAAATATGCAGAACTTTGACCAACTTGCACTTAAATTACCATGATACCTGTTTATGCTTCTGATATCCTCCCAAATGAGATTGACATCCTACCTGTACAGCCAAATGGTATCAATTACAATGGGTCACCCTGTACATACTGCATCATGAACCTCCATTGGTTTCTTCTAGCCACATATTGACTAATAGTGAAACAGCAACTAACCCTGTGTTCCCTTGCAGAAATGTGAAGCCTCCCCAACAATCACAAATGGATGGTCTTGACCATATTGACAACCAGCGACTCCCTAGTGGCGTCTGGAGTGATGACGAGTCTCCAACTGGGCCACGTCCAAAACGTATCAAGGTATATATCAACCAAACACACCTATGCTTCATTTGTATTTCAACATTCCCAGAAATAAGAACTTAATAGGAATTGAACTAACTCTTTTTGTGTTGTTCAATTCTTATTATTTATCTACACATTTCATGTACGTTTATTTGAGAATTATGGAGTTCAGGTCACAGACTGCGACAAAATCTATCTGCTTTAACTTTTATATAGATATTAATCCTAAGATATGCAAGTCAAGAGAAGTTTAAATACTTCTATCATCATTCCTGTTTCCCTCTCCCAATATTATTAACACCAATGTTTTGTCTCGCAAGCCTTCGGCTTCTGAAGCTGATGATGAGGATTCATGGGAACTGCTCGTAAGTTGGTCCCGGAAAATTGTATTTATTTCTGTTGTTTGTGGTGTTTCTTAGACATTGATGTCTTATGCCTAGTAGACTTAAAATTTTGTAGATTTTGGATATTATTCTTATTATCTAGACTGTGATATTTCATTGTGGTTTCATTTGGTTATTTTATGATTTCAAAACAAGATTTAATCTCAATATCTACATATCACCATTCTGATGTAGAATGTTCTGATACAACCTTTTTGTTTGTGAACAGAATTTGTGTATTTTGTTAGGGCGTCTCCCAACACAACTTTTGTAGCACTGTTTGTCAATGTTAGTACCCCAAGGGCCTTTTATTGTATATTGCCTATAGTTGTATTGTCATTCTATATACATGTACTTTATTTGTTGTTTTACCACTTCCAATTCGATTTTTCCTCTTTCAATTAAATTTAGCTATAATGCAACACAAATAGATGTTTATCACTACTAGAAGGCCAGACATATGAATATTCTAATTTTAAACATCTCTTAGTTAGCTGGATTCATTTCATGATATTATTCCATGGTTCATTGAAAGAGACCTCATCAAGTTATGACAATGGATATTCAAGCTACTTCAAGATTTTTGAATTCATTAATCAGGTAAACAAGTTTTTGGGGACTCTACTCCTATTCCATCGCTGATGTAGCATAGCTATAATTGTAGTGGATATTTCAGATTGAGCATGAGCCTCGTATTGAGATGGATACAAGAGAGTGGACGGACCAGCACCGTGCGGCTGCAGGTTACCCACCAGTACCTACCAACTCTATCATGGACATGACCCCACCCCAACAAGATGACCACATGGAGAAAGATGATGTAGATGTCAGAGGACCAGGTACGCCATCTATATGATAACCCTAGCAATAGGTTTCATAGAGTATTGGAAATGAAAACTAGTGGATGTGAAATACTTACCCTTAAAGTTTATAAAATTGTGATAATCCCTTAATGATTGAGTTCAAGATTTGCTCTCTGGCAACTGATGGAATAATATTTCCTATTGTTATTTCCAGATGGCATGACACCATTGATGGTAACACTGTACCGCAGCAAAGACAACACATCCAAGGACAATGCCTCTACAGGAACAGAGGAGTCGGAAAGCACGTCAGCCTCTGGATCAGCTGAGGGTGGGGAGGACGATGGCGCTGGAGCAATTATTGCTGACCTCGTGAACAAGGGAGCAGATATTAAAAAATGTACTGACAGAAATGGTGAAACTCCCCTTCATCTTGCAGCCAGGTTTTCACGAGCCGATGCTGCCAAGAGGCTCCTGGATGCTGGTAGTGACCCCAACTTTGTTGATAACACAGGGAGGACACCTCTTCATGCAGCTGTGGCCAGTGATGCCCAAGGGGTCTTCCAGATCCTTTTACGCAACAGATCCACTAATCTTGATGCCAAGATGTACGATGGAGCAACCCCAATGATTCTGGCCTCCAGACTTAACATAGAGGGGATGGTAGAAGACCTTATTAAAGCAGAGGCAGACATCAATGCCAGTGATGATAAAGGTATGACAATCTTAAACTTAGAAATGATTGAATTATTATAATGGCATGCCAATCTGAAAGATAGGTTTCAGGCTTAATTTCCCAACTAACAAAGTTAAAAAGTCATGTAGTGATATAGTAATAAGATCTTTAGAATTGTATTTTTGTTTGTTTATTTGTTTATTGTGTTTGATCCACGCTATGCTTCATCCAGGGCCTAATTAATTTTCTATGTTTGATTGTGCTATTATAGGAAAGACAGCCCTGCACTGGGCGGCAGCTGTAAACAATATTGAAGCTACCAGGGTGCTGCTAACTCATGGAGCAAACAGAGATGCTCAGGATGCACAGGTTAGTCAACTGAGCAGTTATTTGTATTTTTAAAAATTCATTTATTTTATAAAAATCACTGAACTCATAAGCTTTCAGTTCAGACTACAATATGAGCCATTGAATAGAACGTTACACATAGATACATTCTAATGTAACAGAAACTGACATGATTTTAAGAAGCAGAAGTTTAAAAACTTATTCTTGTGCATAGCATGCAGCATGCAATATAACTCTGTGTACATTATTCATATGGAGAATGTACAATGTTTCTGTCTGTAATTGCAGGACCAAACCGCACTATTCTTAGCTGCACGGGAAGGCAGTTATGAGGCTGCTAGCACTCTCCTGGAACACTATGCCAACCGTGACATCACAGATCACATGGATCGTCTACCCCGGGATATTGCTGGAGAGCGCATGCACAATGATATTGTTCGTCTCCTGGATAATTATCGACTGGAGAGCCCAAGTATGTGTGGCATGGCACGATCTCCACAAGTGTGTTCCCCGCCATATCTAATGCAGCAGCAGAAGCACAAGAAGCGACGCAGTTCAAAGCATAGTTCGAGTAGCAGCTCAAATCCTAACACCCCTGTCAAGGATGTGGGGGGTCCCCTCTCACCGCGGGGGGTGCAGAAGAAGGTGCGTAAGAAGAAGGCCGCAAGGCACAGTACGTCAGGGCCTAATGGACAGTCCACTAGTAGTGGGGATGGGGCATCACAGGGGGCACTATCACCTCAAACATCTATGGATCTCCCCCCATCTTATGAAAGTGCATGTAACGCACATTTAGTGCTGTCCCAAGCAAACATTCATTCATCTATAGACCAGCAGATTCCTGTTAGTTGTGCAATGTCTCAGAATGGACTAGATGAGCATATTATAAACTCTAGCCACCAGATGGCAGGTCAGCATATGACCCCTCCGCAGGAGCAGGAATGGATTGATTATGAGGCGGCACTTGCTGCTGCCAATCATCTTGCGGGTCAACGTCAATCCCCCATCACCTCCCAGGACAGCCCTGCAAGCCAACCAACCATGTCCCCACATAGCCATATGGCAATGTCACCCCCTACTACCATGGCCATTACCACTTCACCACCAAACCACATGGCAATGTCACCTGTGAAACAGAAATCATTGCCAACATCGCCCGCTCACCATCAGGCGATGATGCAACATGCTGCACATAACCAGTTCAACCAGGTCCCCAGTCCACAGCGATACATGGGAGATTTTCACTTCGTTCGGACTGACCAGGTGGGCATGCCGGAGAACATTCCGTTTGTAGGCCAAGTTCCTGAGAGTGGTCGGCAACAGAAGATATCTAGCCTCCCTCAGCAGCCACAACAGGTGTCCCAGCAACAGTATGATCCACCTTACCCCCTCTTAGAGCAATACCCCACCCCTCCCTCACAACACAGTCACATCAGTGACAGTCCCCCACAACAGGTACCCCCATTTACCCACCTACCAGATTATCTAACCCCCTCCCCAGACTCCCCAGGGGAGTGGTCTAGCTCATCTCCCCACTCTGCAAACTCTGATTGGTCAGAAGGAATCTCGAGCCCGCCCCAACCTGTTACCAACACTCAACAACCATCCAATCAACCACCTAGGAAAGAAAACGCTATCTATATATAAAATACATGGCTCAATCCTTCTGGGGAAGCTATAAACATGATATTGCTACAAGCAGATATATACCGAACTCACAAAGAGATGTGAGACAGTGTACAACTCCCAATTATAGCTCTGTGAAGGGGTCCTCACATTGGCATGGGTAGGACCTCTTGAAAGAGTAACAATAGGTGTGAAGTACACTGATATTTGTGATACATAGAGACACTAAAGTGCCTATATATTAACATAATCATCCATCAGTGAAATCCATAGGGATATAAAGAGAATATGGGCTAGGACAAGCCAATATAGGCTACAAAAAGCCAACATATCACAATATATGTGACATATAATGGACAGAATCAATGGATGAAATCCAAACAGAACTTGAGTTCAGAGACAAGTATGCAAACCAATGTAAAATAACCAATACATACTGAAGATATGTGCATAAACTCGGCCCCACTTTGTTCGGGTATTAGCTATCTACATCATTAGAGGTTGCTAATTAATTATGAATAGCTACAGCTAATATGTGTGGGTTAGCTCTTTTAGAACTGCCTTATGTAGCAATGTAAATACGCAAAAGCTTGTTTCTATGGCAAGTACAGAACTATGGTAACCATAGTTGCTATGGTAATATCAGAAACAGCAATATAACTTGAGGCATTTTGTTTATATATGAGATTAGAAAAATATAAGAGTGATTCATAATTGAGAACATGTAAATATACAGTGATATATTTTATATACAAACATTATTATAGTTGTCTTGCATTTTTATATTATTTGTCATCAAACTTTAGTGTACAAAATGATGTGTTAAGAGTTCATTTATTTAGGTTTAGTTGGTCCAATATATACATTGAAAAGGGTCCAGAATGTCATGTTTCATCGTAAAGATTGAACTGTGTGCTACTTTGCACAAAAGCTTACATAGTTTATAGGGAAAAGTATGCTTGCTGTGACTCCATGTTTTCTCACACTGAGAATATTAATTTTGTCTTACTATTGTGGGCCAGGAAACTATAACAAATGAGTCACTCTGCTCTCTATTATAGCACATTGGTTATCTTTTAGTTCCAAAATTATCTGTTTGAAATATTTTGATAATAATTTAGGTGGAAATTTTAGTTGATTTATTTGTAAGGTCTAATTAGCCTACAACACTCACACATTTCAACATTTAAAAAAAATACATTTCAATGTCGTCAATATAGTCAGTTGCCAGTTTTAGTTATAGTGGTTCAGCTAAATGCAATTTTTGCTAAATGACTTCAAACGTGTGAGATGTTGGTATAAAACAACCATTTTGTATCATCATCGTCATAAAATAGAAAACTGGCAAGCTGATTATTATAGCGTGGCATCTACATTGTATTTTATGGGACATTTATATTATTAATATATTATTAGACCCACCATTTAGTTCTACAAGCCATAGATAGATTCAGGTTTGTCCCATAAATCGCAATGTAAAATGTCTCGCTATATTGTACAATTTGTACATAAATCTTACTATAAGCTATACTTCATATTGAGCCATCTCATATACATACAAAATACATACATGTAATCTGTAAAATTTTTCACTGCTGTTTTAGTATTTTAGAATTTGTTTAAAAATTAGTTAAGATTTCATTTAATAACTCTGCTATAAGTTTACAATTTTGGTGTTCTTTGCTTTCAATAGAATTTAATGGTGTTCAGTTCTACTGAAGTTTTCATTTTAACTTAATTTATTATCCTACTTATTTATGATTTTACAACCCAAATGTGCAATTTTGAAGTGTTTGGCTGGGGCATTTTGTTTTCAAAAATATTTAAACTGTCTAGTGAATTTGAAGCAGAATTGTCTCAGCCTGGCACTAGAGACTGGGTTAGTTTGAGATATCATAACACGAGTCTTTCGTTCATTTTATGTTTCCTTTTAGTAATTTGTCAATTTATCATTCATATTTTAATTTGGGTGATCATTCAATCATGTATTGTTCACGGAAGGATCAGATCATTCAATCATATTGTACATGGATGGATCATTCAATGAAGTCATGAGCAGAGAAAATATTGTAAATATATCAACTAGACTTGTATGAAGAAACGAACAAATATCATCCTAAATGCCATTTAATTCATGTTATAGCTGACCTGACACCCCTTAACCAAGATCAAAGATTCTTCCACTTTATATTTTGTATTCATACAAGGGGTGATAGGGTATCATGTAGTTTTGCCTGATGAACATTAAAATACTCATCAGTCTTAAGACATTTTTATGAAACCAAGTTTTGATGAATTTACAAATGAACAAATGAAATCCAGTATCTATGTATATATATATAATGTATACAGTATAACATAAAAGAGGAGTTAAGGCAAAGCTGCATGGTAAGGCCTACCTTAAGGTATACATCTTGTATACTGATTCAACCATGAACTATTTTGTACAATTGTATGATAATTGATATGTAAAGTCATATTTGTCATTTTAGTTCGAAAAAACTAACAAAGCTATTTAAGAAATAAAATATTGTATGGTATTTGTCAACAATAAATCACTTTTTGTTTGTTTATTTAATATATATTTATTTACAGTTGATGTGACAAACAAAATTCACACAAAATATGAAACTAAAAATCTGTGATTGCATCCCCTTAAAACATCTGTCTATTATGTTTCTACAAAACAAGAATTCAAGACACTCATTTGGAGTGACATTTGTAGAAGTCACATCTCATAATTAAGTAACAACAATAAACTCCCAGCAAATTCCAAGTCAGTATTCAATTCATCATACTCCAAGTTTCAATGACTGATTTGGCATATTCCAAGTTTCTATATTCAATTTGGCATATTCCAAGTCAGTATTCAATTTGGCATATTCCAAGTCAGTATTCAATTCGGCATATTCCAAGTCAGTATTCAATTCGGCATATCCCAAGTCGGTATTCAATTCGGCATATTCCAAGTCAGTATTCAATTCGGCATATGCCAAGTCAGTATTCAATTCGGCATATGCCAAGTCAGTATTCAATTCGGCATATCCCAAGTCAGTATTCAATTTGGCATACACCAAGTCTCCATATTCAGTAAAATAACATGGGTCGAACTCCCTAAATTACTAGAGGTTAAACGTTTTGCATCTAAAATATTAATGTAATTTTCTACAAAATGTTGTACTACTGTCTGTATTTTTAGGTTTGAATGACACGCAACCCAAATAATTTGAATTATAAAGGGGCATGTACATAGGATGCCTAATGCATATTCATGAAGACTACCAGACTTTATGAGAATCAATATTTAGTATGTAATGATGATCAAGAAAGACAATTTCTTTTGTCCAAAAAAATAATTTTCAGTAGAACCAGTTTTTAGCAGTAATAAATGATTAAATGTGTCAAAAAACAATAAATAGATGTAAAACAAGATATCGGGTACATGTTTTTACTGCACAATGATTATAATATTGCACCTCAAAATGTGAGATATGAAAACAATACAGAGATCTTGTAAAAATTCTACAACTTGCAAATGTAAAGCCACAAAACTAGAACAAAACTGGATATTTACATTTCTGTACACATGTACCAAAGTAAGAATAAACGCCATCTAAATATCTATTCATGTGTCTGTATGAGAAAGAAAAGACTAGAAGGAATAGAGATGAGTGGAGAGTAAGTTTGACAAATGGTCACAATTTAACAATATTCTTTGATTTTAAATGCTTCCAAAATATCTTACACTCTCTACCACTTCTAATTCCTTCAGACAACATGCTTTCGTTTCATATTATACTATCCTGATGTGTTTGGAAGATTCTCTTTATGGCTTGTACTGCGAGGAACTGTATTTGATGAATAATAAACAAAATATATGGTCTCCCAATATTGCAGGGATCTTTCTTTTATAAACAGGCAACTTTGATTGTCACTCTTGTATCCTTGTGTGGTAGGTTATTGCCAATGTTATTACGTTCTCAGTACAATCACTTTACCAATTGTTCAACTGTCCTAGTGTAGTAGATTGTACTTGTATACACATTGTACTCTCATATCCATTGTACTTGTATACAATTCATATTGTACACTCATATGCATTGTACTTGTATGCACATTGTACATATTGTTTAAAGGAAGAACACCAGATACAACCAAACTGCAACAACAGCAGCAAATCCTATGGCACTTCCGAATGCTTTCATGAAGGCTGCAAACAAAAATTAAATGTATGTACACCACCTTCAAAAAGTTAAATATATGTACACTCCCTTCAAAAAGTTAAAAAAATGTACACCCCCTTCAAAAAATTTGGCAACACCAAGTCCCCTCATCTTCGCATGCTCGGTTTTCACTGCATTCACCAACGGGAACGAAGATGAATTCCCCTACTGGACCATGTGTTTAAGCACGGCTATCCAATATCGAGGAAAGGGTTGCCAATATATATACATACATGTACATATACAGGGTGTCCATAAACACTCTCTACAATTACAAATTTACAGTCTCTAACCCTTGTAAAGAGACTTAATGGACACCCTGTATATCTATGGTGTCAATGCTTCCTTTAGTTCCTCTCCCCTTGCATGAATAAGGGAGAGGAGGAAGACACTGACAACATTCATGTAAAGTAGACTGAACCTGGTGGAAACTATTAAATTGTATGAACAGTATCTAAATACTTGTATCTCTAATTGCTGTGAATCACCTACAAGATGCTCTACCAGACTTGCCAACCTAAAACGAAAATTTTTCGGGAGATTTAAAAAAAATTGCGGTACTTCTACGGGAGTTTTTTTCAAAATCCGGTAGTTTTTGCGGGAGTTTTTTGAAAAAAAGCGGGAGTTTTTACGGGAGATTTTTGAAAAAACTGTAGTTTTAACGGGAGATTTAAAAAAACGGGAGATTTTGCGGTAAATTTTGAAAAAAAATGGGAGTTTTTACGGGAGATTTTGAAAAAAACAGGAGTTTTTACGGGAGATTTTTTAAAAAAGGTATTTTTCGCGGTAAATTTAAAAAAACGTGACTTTCTTAAGGAAGATTTCAGAAAAAACGGGAGTTTTTGCGGTAGGTTCTGAAAAAACGGGAGTTTTTACGGTAGGTTTTGAAAAAACGGGAGTTTTTGCGGTAGATTTTTTTAAAAAACGGGAGTTTTTACGGTAGATTTCTGAAAAAACAGGAGTTTTACGGTAGAATCTGAAGAAAAACGGGAGTTTTTACGGTAGATTTCTGAAAAAAACGGGAGTTTTTACGGTAGATTTCTGAAAAACGGGAGTTTTTACGGTAGATTTTGAAAAAACGGGAGTTTTACGGTATATTTTTAAAAAACGGGAGTTTTTGCTTTAGATTTTGAAAAAACTGGAGTTTTTACGGTAGCTTTTGAAAGAACGGGAGTTCTTACGATAGGTTTCGGAAAAAACGGGAGTTCTTACGGTAGGTTTCTGAAAAAACGGGAGTTTTTACGGTAGATTTTGAAAAAACAGGAGTTTTTATTACTTTGGAAACGAATTGATCAAAGCTAAGTAAAATGTATTTGTGGCGTTCACTGTATGCTAAGGCACTGGTGATCCACTCGATTACGCTGGTTACCGAAACGGTTCGTTTTGGTAACAAAATGTCGGAACGTCGAAGGTATGATTATTCTTTTTTCCCTATTTTTCCTTATTTCACGCGTTGTAGGGTAGAATCCAAACGACGTTTTTTCTCACAAACATGTATCAGTATCATATGTTTTAGAAAAAGTTCATGTTTGAGAAAAAATAGCTCAGAAGACAACAGAATCGTCGATTTAATTCCTCACTGAAGTTACATAAACGATTTGGGTTAATTGGGTTAAAAGTGCAGATCTTAACTGTTTTGCGAACAACCGTTTATGTAACTTAAGTGAAGAGTTAAATCGACGATTCTGTTGTCTTCTGAACTATTTGTTCGCACATATGTACATTTTCTTAAATATATGATACTGATACACGTTTGTGTTAAAAAATGTCGTGGGAATTCTGCCTACAACGTGTGAAATAAGGAAAGGAGAAAAATCGTACCTTCGACGTTCCGACATCTCCCGACAGAAGTATGACAGAATATGAACTGGCCCCCGTTTGTGGACATTTGGTGCGCAAACTTATACCGAACTGATCGCAGAAAAGCAATTTGAATCATGGGAATGAAGTAATTTTAAGTTATTTATAAAAGTATCGATAGTGAACCATGGGAGCCAATCCTTCTTGGAGTAAAAGAAAGAAGCGTGCCTGCAATAATCAAGGTCACAGATTTGTCAAATTCCTTTTAAATACGGTAGATTTCGACAGCAAAAAAACGGAGATTTTACGGGAGTTATACCAAGAATACGGGAGCTTTTACGGGAGTTATACCAGAAAACGGGAGATTTTACGGGAGTTATACCAAGAATACGGGAGATTTTACGGGAGTTATACCAGAATACGGGAGATTTTACGGGAGATTTCAAAAAAATACGGGAGATTTTACGGCCATATTTTTTACGGGAGAAAACGGTACTGGAGTTTGGTATTTTTTACGGAAAAAACAAAAAATTTACGGGAGATTCCCGTAAAAAAACGGGAGGTTGGCAAGTCTGTCTACACTAGACAATGCTTATATGTGTGTGTATCTATGCAGATCATGCTTATATACATTTATAAATCCTATTCCCAAAGCATCATAGATTATGATCCACTCAGTACAAAAGTAAAGTGATTTCTCGAAATAGCGCTTTGATAGCTTCAATGAGAAATAAGTATGAATATTCTATAGCACTAAAATTGATATCATACATTCATGTAGTCTTGCTTCAAGCCCCTCCCCCTCCCCCTTCAATCACACAATGACAAGGAAAGCTGAGTAGAGATAAAGTGCATCGAACCGGGCTTGATGCAAGACTAATATTTAAGCTGTTAAAGAATGCAGTGAAGGCACCAAAAAGGAATCATTGATGATCCAAATAATAGTGATATTGCAAGAGAAGCAGTGAGAGCAAGCATAGCTTCTACACACCCTGATCATTGGTGGCCTCATGCACAAGACTCCGCGGTGAGAGAGAGACCAGCGCAATGACCACATCAGCCAATAGGAGCTCAAAGATTATACCTGAGAAGCTCATTGGCTTGCGTTTCTCCTTCTTTTTCTTCTTTTCTTTTATGGGCTTCACAGGTTCTGTCTTCTGTGTTACACTTGGTTTACCTAGAGGGAAAAGAACAATACCAGTATACAATTCCAAAGAGTGATTTAAAATCACATGCGAGGCATCATGTAGATTCTATTATGTTTAATATACAAGGATATAGGTTAATGAACTGGAAGCAATACAGTTCCATACTAATTACTTATATTAATACTTCTATTATCTGTCAGTCACTTATGATTTACTTATATTTTACCATGGACAAAAAGTCTTGAGTTTATTAGACAGATATGACTTATTCACTACTTACTTACCCAGCATAACAAATGGCTACTTACGTTTCACGGGTTCATAATCACCAGGTTTCATCTCTGAGAAGGAGAATCCCCTGAAAATGAAAAAGTATATGGTTGTTTGTTTGGTTTCTTTTTTTTAATTTGTGTCATAATAATGTGGAAGAAACAGACATTACTGGAGGCACCATTATTCAAGGAAAAACAATTAGTCAATATTTTTCAGGGGAAAACAATGGCAAAATCCCTGATCATTCAATTTCTCATCTGAGTTGTACTTACGAATCTTGTGACTCGATGGGGGTAGGTGGCCTGTCTGGGTCAGGCTTGTAACCAAGGTTACAATCAGGGAGAGGTTCATTAGAGGGTGAGAAATCAGCTGGATCCATAGCCCCGAAGGAAAAACCTCTGAAAATAATAATGGTCACTGATGTACGTACATTGTTAATATAGTTAAGAAATAAATAATGTAATGTGCAACTTTATTAAAAACAAGGCCCATTGATGAATTTCAATAGAAAAGTGAAAACGGAAGTTAAAACATCATAAACCTATTAATAGTGGTAATTGTGTTATTTTGCTACCAACTATTGGTAAGAATATTTGAAATAAATGGGTGAAGATTGCAAATTGTACATGTTAGCTGATGACAGAATGTGCCAAACTTACGAATCCTCATATGTGATTGGTGTGGCCGGTCTGTCAGGGTCAGGTACATATGGCTCAATCTCCTCTTGTCCAAAATCAGATGGCTTACTATCAACAACATTGACAGTGTCATCTTCAGGTTTGATTGGCTGGAAGCTGTATGGCTGCTCACTGGAAGTATCTTGTGCTGTAGTTGGTGCTACATCTTCTATGATCTTATCATCCAATTTAGGTTCACTAGGCTTAGTGGTGAAAGCAATAGGAGCATTTTCTGCACTGATACTATTTTCTGGTGTAATGTCTTCCTCTATTGGAACAGGTTGTGAAAAGTCCTGAGTACTACTTTTTGGTGTTATTGCGCCCTCTATATAAGGTGCAGGGCCAAAGTCATAGAGAGAATCGGAAGCATGCATTGGCGATGATGCCTGAAGCTGCAGGGACTCTTGCTGAATTTCCTCATCCAATTCATGAGGTTTTGGTAGCTTGGAGGCTTGTGTATCCTCTTCAAACCCAGGTTGCATACTTGCTCCAAACCCAGCTTCAACTTTAATCCCAGGGATAGCTTCAATTGGCTCCTCAACAGGTTTAGAAATATAATCCACCTTACTGAAACCCCCACTGTAGTTATCATCATCAGTCGTTGCATTGACCTCCTCGCTCATGGGTGCATCACCATCAGAGCTTGGTGGTGGGGGCAGAGGTGCATCACCGTCAGAGCTAGGGGGTGCGGGTGACTCTGGGGGAGACTCCTGGACACTCCTGGAGGAGGCGACACTAAGTTCCTCCTCAGACATGGTTGGTGAGCTCCCAACCAGTGAATTACTCACACTGCTACTGTCCTCTCCAGATGAGCCTGTAACAAACAAACAAGTTTAATAAAGAATCACATATATTCAGGAACTTTTTATGACCTTGATCTTAAGAATGACCTTGAGCACCAAGAGATCATATTATAATATTCTCTTAAATTCTGTGATCCCTTTCTATTTTTATTAGTGAAGAACAAATTAAGATTCAAATATAAACTGGCTTTAGTGTGGTGTCCAATGGGGACTTCTGGTTGCCAAGCTTATAAGGGGGGGGGGTGTATTATAGTAAAGATTAACCTCCATGCATTTGTACATTTCTTTTCTTGTGCCTTGGTACAAAAGTGATATGTAAAACCTGTTCAGTTGTTTGTACATCTATTACAAATATAATTATCTTGTTTAGATGTTTAGAATAATAGAGATACTGTACATAAAAATTTATATACCTCTGTAGGTGTCACGGCCACAAATATGTACAGATGTTATTTACCAAGTTTTCACCATTTACACTTGCATGTAATCAAGGCTCAAAAGTGAGAGTATCCAGGGATATCTGGCAAATATATATTTTATAACATATCATAATGACGCCTTAGTCTGTTTGGTAAAGGGAATTTTAGATTATTATTCACACCATCAACTCCAGAACTATCATACACTGTTGTTCTCGTTCAGGTTGACTTACATTTAAGAATCAGAGATTCTAGATTGCTCTAGTCATTTAGCATGCATGGTCTAGACATAAAGCATGTATGGTCTAGACATAAAGCATGTATGGTCTAGACATAAAGCATGTATGGTCTAGACATAAAGCATGTATGGTCTAGACATTACGCATGCATGGTCTAGACATTAAGCATGCATGGTTTAGACATTAAGCATGCATGGTCTAGACATTAAGCATGCATGGTCTAGACATTAACCATGCATGGTCTAGACATTAAGCATGCATGGTTTAGACATTAAGCATGCATGGTCTAGACATTAAGCATGCATGGTCTAGACATTGAACATGTGTGGTCTCGACATTAAGCATGCATGGTCTAGACATTTAGCATGCATGGTTTAGACATTAAGCATGCATGGTCTAGACATTACGCATGCATGGTTTCGACATTTAGCATACATGGTCTTGACATTTAGCATGTATAATCTAAACATTTAGCATATATCCGCTAGACATTTAGCATAAATGGTTTAGACATTTAGCATGTATGGTCTAGATATTTAACATGCATGGTCTAGACATTACGCATGTATGGTCGAGGCATTTAGCATACATGGTCTAGACATTTAGCATGTATCCACTGTAGATTTAGCATGTATGGTCTAGACATTTAGAATCCATGGTCTAGATATTTAGCATACATGGTCTAGACATTTAGCATTCATGGTTTAGACATTTAGCATGTATGGTCTAGATATTTTGCATGCATGGTCTAGACATTTAGCATGTATCGTCTAGGCATTTAGAAGGCATAGTCTAGAATCTAATATGCATGGTCTAGACATTTAGCATGCATGGTCTAGACATTTAGCATGCCTATAATAATGTCACACTTCGGGTTAATATACAGGGTGTCAAATAAGTCCCGTCCCCCCTGCTACAGCTAAAGCCTTAACAGACAGTACCTAGTGTGATATACCATTGGAAATATCATCCAAAGTTATGTTAACTCACCAACTCTCAAGTATTTTGGATGAAATTTACCTATATTTTTATGATGTCTTTTATAGTTTACGTGCCCCCCTTTAAGTAGCTTTTTTGCGTCAAAATGACAAGGATATGACCTCAGAAATACGTCAAAAAGTTGATCTTTTTCGCATTCCACTTGTTACAAAATGGTTTTCAGCACTTTCCTTGCCCCTCTATTTTCTACACATCTAACCCTATCCAGGAATTGGTTAAATTCATTGCCATAAACATATTTAGTCATCTTATGGTCCCTTGACCTTTCTTATACCCGATTCTTAAAATCCTGCCAAATATGCCAAATTGCCATGTTTCTAGGCATATGGTCACCTCAATTGATACAATGTAAAAATTTGTGAGATTGATTGACATGCGTCAGATATATGCCAATCAACGTAACTTTGGAAGACCTTTCCAATGATAAATCACACTTGGTACCAAATATCTTGGTTTTGGCTGTAGAGGGGGGGGGGGACGGGACTTATTTGACACCCTGTAGATATAGTTATATGTTATTATATGATCTAAGACATTCTAAAACATGTGGATAACTCAACCTATCATCTTATCTTCAAAAAGAATGTGAGATAAAGTTCCATTAATTCTTACATTGCAGCGGAAGCATACTTAAGATATGATATCCACTCTTTGACTTTATCTGGCATACCATCACTTGGATAACATCTTATCCATATAAAAGCATAGTAAGCAGTTTCATGAAATGAATGTTACAAGTATAATGTAAACAAACCAATGTGTTTCAACGTACTTCACCTCCACATCATGCACCACGCATGGCATAAGTCTTAGCAGCTACGCAGTTGCCATAATTATAGTCAAATTAATTAAAGTATTCAATCAACCTACCGATGCCCTGATTACGTAACTCTCGACGACGTCTTCTCCGTTCCTCAAGGTCAAGTTTCTTGTCTGTGATGGGAGATGGAGTCTGCAAGAGAAAAACATTCCTATTGATTGACCTTCACTGGCAAATACTTTCAGCTGCAGTCATGCAGAGGGAACAGCAATAAGGAATTTAATACATTCAGTTTGCCTGCTTTACTTGCTCACATCATTCTATCTTCTATTTTGTATGTATACTAGTAGATATTTTTGGAAGGAAAACCACAGAGATGAGTTAGTATGATGGTACAGTAGATATCAATAAGGACATACATGTATGTCTGGGATATTCAGAACATAGAGGTTATATGAGGCCTGGCCATGACCCGAAGAATACATATGAGGAAATCTTAGGGAGATTCACCTGGTTTCTCCCTTAGGAGACAATGGGAGATATTGATACAGTTTACATGGTACCAGCACACAAAAAATAATAGGTCATTATTTAATAATCAATAATGAAAAGATCCAATATCAGAAAACAGCGAACAAACTAAAGTGGCAGCAAAGAACGCAAAGCACTCAATCTTTCATTTTTATTCTGAGCAATTGTGACCTTTTTGGGCCTCATTTTCAGAAATAGACCTTATTTCTAAAAATGGTCCAGAAATGAATTGCTAACAATTTTTGCCCCCTTCTTTCAGTTTCAGGTCCATGTCTGCAGAATGTAAAAGGGAGGTTATTGAAGATGTAAATCTCATTGAAGTCAATAGAATTGAAAAGGATATGTCCACTTTCTTTTTTCAGAAGTGCCAAATAACCTTTCAAAATAAAAAGAGAAAAAGGTGATAAATAAAAGAAGTACTTATAGAGAGAACGTATTGTAGAACTGACCATCAACCATCAACTTGTCTCTATATTTTATGCGCATTAGTGAAAAATGGCAAGTGACTCCCATTGTACAATTGGTGAATACATTTACATTTTATCATAATCATGCTTACTTCATATGTTAATATGCTTACTTCATATTCATTTGGCTTACTTTCAGTACACTTTGGTTGGAATGTGATAAATTCATTTGGCTTTTCTCATTTTGTGTTTTATACTTTACAATTAAAGGATTGCATGTCTTGGATAAACGAAGCACTCTGACCAAGTCTAAGAAAAGTTGAACCTCAATCCTTAGCACCTTTAATATTATATGAGTTCTGAAATCCCCCTCCCCTTCCCAGATAACAGGGCATAATCAAAATGTGTAATAGAGTTGAACAATCACAAATGATTATAGCCATTACAATCCCTTTGATGTCTCCATTCTACATGGATTTATCCAGCAACTGTCAACTTTTTCTGATATTCTATTAATCATGTTTCCACTTATGAACAATTCTATCAATCCAAAGGAGGATATGAAATAGCATAACAAATTAATATATGTTCTTAACCAACCAGTGTTCAGGTATTCGTTTTAGGTTTACCAGTGAACATGGAACTTGGAAATAAGAAAATGCTAGCAGAGTTATAAATATAGGATGGCGTGTTAAGTAACAAATTGTTCTGCTCATTAAAATCATTCGGTGCTTATATCATCAAAAAGGGCAAAATAAAACAATTCTTTGCTCTGGGTTATGTTGAGTAAATGTGAATTACTTGGTGTAATAAATATGACCTTTGCACGTTTGTAGTCCACTAATGTTACAATGGTTACCCATCATGCCTCGTGAGATATGATCCTTACCTGTTCTGGAGTACCATTAGTGCCATTGGTACCATTGGTTGCAGCAGTACTGTTTTTGGAAGGCCCTCGTATGTTCACCATAGCTTTATAGAACTCTTCAAAGTCAATGTCACCTGAGGAATCATCATCTAACTTAGCAACAATGGCCTGAAAAAGAAAACATAGCTTTACAACAATGGCCTGAAAAAGAAGAAATATCTTAGCAACGATGGTCTGAAACTGAAATCGAGGACATAACTTTGCAAGGATGGCCTGAAATAGACGAGGCATGGTACAGCTTAGCAACTATGGTCTTAAATAGGGGACATACGAGATTGGCAGATTGGTAGATTGGCAAGAATGGCCTGAAATATGTATTGAATCTTTGTTGAAAGCCCATGATCTTATTCCTTTCTAAATCCAAGACCATACAGATCGTAAAATATTTAATTTTCAAGCAGGTTTCAAGTATAAAGCCAATGTAGCTCACCTGTATCTTCTCTTTTGGCAGGGCATATCCCAACTTCTTAGACACATCACTCAGCTCTCTAGCATTGATAAACCCATCATTATTGTCATCAAATAAATTAAAAACAGCTCGATATTTTTCCATATCAGCCATTTTAAACGTTATAATGTTATTTTCTGGTATTATTATATACTAAAGTAGAATAAATCCGAATGCTGATTTTGTTAGTTCAATTTCTATCCAGATCCGTAATTATTCTGTACATAGCATAAAGAGCCTCTTTTGGGTGATTGCTATGTTCATTGGGTGATTGCTCTCTCAGTAATATGATTGTTATGTTGTATTCCGAAGTGATACTGGTGTCCAATGCTAGTTACACCTATATGTACGCTCCCAATCCACAGACATAACGCTGAAAGTACAAAAATTGCAAGATACAACTTTATTCCGTTTTCTTAATTTGTTGTTCACACTGTAACGTATTTGTGTTTGGTGCTACATAAAAATCGGACGACCATAAAAAACGATCATAACTTTACATTTGGACCGACAGGCTCTGTGCTTGGAGGTGGACCTTATCATCGGCTGACATTTACTGGTAAAGCTGAACCAGTTTCCCTAGCAACAGATAAAGATACCTGCTCAGTATTCTATTTTAACAATGATCTGTTACCATGACTACACTGTACCTGGTATTCTCCAAGGGGAACAGTTGGTGCGCTGCATCAGTTCTTGACCACAGACATAAGATGCAATAAATGTTTAACGTCTTTACGGACAAACCAATTGAGAAAAGAATAGTTATCACAGGGGCTCATAATAACACGTACACGTATACGTTCTCGTAGCTAATCTCCCTTTTATAAGCGGTATGAGAATATCGCTATCAGTACAATTTTTATTTCTACCATATCGTATTCTCAGTTCACTTTCAATTTTTGAAATATTTGTTAAACTATACACATTTCCTAAAAGTACCCCATTTTCAATTTATTGCTAGACCCGCCCCTCACTAATGAAACATTGCATGGAAGCATTAACAAGCCATATAGATAAGTAATCATGACCTATTACTGGAACAAGTATTCTAAGTTAGGATGTTAATCCCTAGAAGTTAATCCTAGCTTAATGGTATTAACCTTTAATCCAATATCACACATGAATCTTGAATTAATTCAAAATAACAAACAGATAACTATTCTGATCTCATTATTCAATTCTAAATTATTTCTTCATATATTTTCTCATTCTGCTGTGGTCATGCTCAACCAATGGCTAAAAGTACAAGACAGTGTTTATATTTAAGCATCATAATTGTTTATCCAATTTTTTCCGAAAGGAGAAGTCTCTCAAACAACTTATACCTTGAAAGGGTCCGGGTTTTGTACTATTTGTTAAATTAATAGAAAATATATCCTTACTAAGTATTGTTAAAGTCAGATTCTTCAGCTAGACCCAATACTTTCTACAGATCTACACCCCCACCATACCTTTGATAACCGGAAGTTCCAATCAGATAGCGTTTTAAAGCATGAATCTTCTGTTTTTACCAGAATATTTCTTCTCTTAACCTGCTTTACTCTATACTTGGTGAATATACCAAAAAAGATATATGATGAATTTGTGAAAACCGCTAAACTTTCAGTTGCCAAATTTTTTTGAGGAAGTGTAGGCACTCACATGAAACCCGGGAAAGTACTTACCCTAAATATTCTTAACATCCCTTGGTTCTGTGAATCACTTTAGGTAATCCAGTACATTATCTTTTATTTACCAATATAATCCAATAAATCTAACCTCGTACTATAGATAACTGCTAACTTAGGGGATCTGTTGAGCACTGTGATGTCAGAATAATACAAGCAGCTCTTGTTTGGAACATGCGCTTAGTTTTTTGAGTGATAAGTGATGTTCCTCAGTTACCCAAATACAAAATATCAACCCGACCAAACGCTCTTATTGATATTTCTCTGTATAATCGACGAAAATGATAAGCAATCTAAGACATATTTGGGGTGTATGGGTTGTTTGAGATTCCCTTCATTGTTTTTTGCCTGATTGTGCTCTAAATACAAGAGAAATCTATGAAAAGATTCAATAATATTTTCCCGAGCCGAGGTCTTGTACATGCAAAGGTAAGTTACCAAGAAGCCACTTGGGGAGTTATTTGCAGTTATGCTGACCCCATGCTACCCTCCATGTATTATAAACACAAGTCTGTCGGATAACAGTATCTCAATATAGACTCAGGTATGCTTCAGAACACCAGAAAGCATCCAGAATACTTCCTGACTTACAGAACTTTGTTATCATTATCAGAAAATGCTTATACTGAAACCAGTTCATCTTACAATTAGTATTCGTTACGAAACTATGTTGTCATATCTTGGATTCTATATCTATATTGTCATATCTTGGATTCTATATTGTCATATCTTGGATTGTGCCACTGGATTGTGTGATTGTGTTTTATTCTCATTTTATTCTCATGGCTCTTTCACGTTCATCATAACTTCTTGGGTTGTCTGAAAGTACTTGTACTTAAATCTTGGTTTTTTCACGAATTGCGATTTGAAATTTGGATGGTGTCACAGTAATCGTGCTATATTCTAGAGTTTTGAAACATATATTGTGCGTTATTCTTGGATTGCACTACTGTCATTGTGCTTTATTTTTGGATTGCACTGCGGTCATTGTGCGTTGTTCTTGGATTGCACTACGGTCATTGTGCTTTATTTTGAATTGCACTACGGTCATTGTGCGTTATTCTTGGATTGCACTGCGGTCATTGTGCGTTATTCCTGGATTGCACTACGGTCATTGTGCGTCATTCTTGGATTGCACTACTGTTATTTTGCTTTATTTTTGGATTGCGCCACACATATATTTCTATCATCTCTCTATGATTTGGGTCCATTCTAAAATTATTCTTAACTATTAAGGCATCATACCGAAAGCAAGCTCATATTAGGGTATCATTGATCATTTTGATTACGTTACGTATCACAGGAATCATGTTTTGACAGCCAAACACTTCAGTCCACTTGGCAGTGTGACTGGGAGTAGGATAGGCCCTATACTAGTCATTAGCCCTTATTAACATATCATTTGATCAGAGGAAGTTTTCAGTTTTGAAGCATTTTTGATTTGAATTAAAGTTATTCAAATTAGTTATATAGAAAACGATGTTGTGCCTATACCGGGAAAAACATTGCCCGTTATCTTTACTTTATCGTCGTTCATGGGGATTCCATGACCTATTGGCTCTATTGCAGGGATATGAAGAACATAGCCAGGTGCAAATCCAATCAACCTTGACACAATATGATACATCTTATCTTTCTAAGCAATATACAGCCGCAATAAATGTGGGGATATATAAACCAGAGGCATATTGATAAATAAACTAGAGGTTATTTAATGCGAGTGATGGAATATGAATTTTATTCCGAGGGAAATATCATATTTTCTCGAGGTACATCAATAACCTGTTTATATTATGATATTTTTTGAAGTTTGATTTGTCATCGCCTAACGATGGTGTCATAAAATGATGCAATTATATTTATCATATAACATTTTCGGAACTTTTGATGAAGAAATTCTGATACGGGATATCTGATACGGGATTTTGGCTGATACGGGATCTTATACGGGATTTTTTTGTATATCAATTCAATTCCGTTTTATTTCCCAGGGCAAAACAAGCTATAGCCGAGATCTTCCAAGAATGGGATTCACACTTGTAATACAGGTGGTCTATATGTACAACCATTTTGCTTGAAATTCTCCATTGACCTTTATGTGAAATGTCAATGTATATTTTTGTTTCTTATATAAATTTACAGAACGAATGCAAGATATTATCAATTGGAGTATTATGAAGTTTGGCATCAGGACTAGATCAAGATATCATAGTCACACTACAGTATGTACATGTAATATATCGAACTCTCATCACATTCCTCGATCACCTTTTTGCCCTTCTGTAGAATTCACCTTTAGATGCCCAAGATAATGGGTTTCACCCCTTCCGAAAGATTTTTCACCAAAAGTTCCTTTTTACCACGTTCCTTTTACTACAAAATATCAAAGCCATTCGATTTTTTGTAATATTGAGCATTCCTGGAAAAAAATTAAGGTTCAAAAATCGGGCTTTAAATCGCTATCAAATGGGGGCCTCTTATTGCCAAATCTATTGAAGGGGGGTGTATTCCAGTCTTATCAGGATGAGTCACATAATGGCAGATTAGCTGGTCGGAGTTTTTAACCAGTTGCCAAAAATACAACAAACAGGATTGTTTTTTTGATAAATTGATGTGGTGTTTACATGGTTAGGCTAGACTATAGGTCAATGACACAATGGCTTTCTAGACAAAGATGATGATGACAAGGGGTTTCAAAAAGATGTCAGCAAAGATTATGTCAAAGAATAAGATGATGACAATGTTGATGTCATCATGGATGATGACCAAGGTGATGTCAGCATAGTTAATGACTATAATAACATTTCGTCCAAAGGAGGAAATATTCCATATAGGCTGTAAAAGTTGAAAATTGCAACTGAAAGGTCTAGCTGATGACCTGGCCTATTTGGTGCATAGGTACGTGGAAGTCCAACTGTAGCAATCGGTATATTTATCTCTGGAGATGATTGAACTATCTTTATAGCTCTTACTCTCTCATTAACAACTCGAACTCGAATGGAAAAATGTTGAACCAAAATCTCCTTGTTTGGGTAGGAAAATAAAATGATAAACTTAGATGATAAAAATTAGATGATATACTATACTTTGATGGTAACAATTAGATGATATACTATACTTGGATGATATGACTAAGATTAAGCTCGATATTTTGATGTTGCAAATTAAGTGATATAACTGAGAACATGTGCAAAGAGATTCTAAAATTCTGTAGTGCCCAAGTTCTCTTATAAAGCAACATCAACAAACAATCAAACAAATTGGCAAGCAATAAAAACAAACAAATAGAATATTAGCAAGAAAGTTTCAGAATATTCATGAGAATTTTTTCCGAATTTCACCAGTCATCATCATATTTCAGAACATGGGAAACAGTGAGAGCAACTCCTACACCTCTGGTATACAGGTAAACACTAATTGAAATCTAAAAATATTGCAATTGATCCACCTACATGTAAGGCAAACCTTGTGAGTATTCCTTGCCTGGTAAGAAGGAATTCAGATGATTTGGCAAGGAATGAGCGGAGCACCATTTGCGTTTTCACCACAAACAATCGTATAAAGATCCCGGAATAGAAGGCATCACTGAAAATACATGTTTTAAAATGATACTGCATAAACGATATGAAATAATTTGAATAGGTAACTTTGGCTAATCATGAACACGCAGACTAGCCATGTTACAGATTAGAACTTCAGCTAGTTCTGGAACACCACCACATGTAAATCAACTCAACTAAATCAAGTAAAGGGAGATAAACCTGGTTAAGTTCTCCCTCGGGAGATATTGGCTAAGCTTTTGATCCCTTCATTGGCGAATCTTGGGTAGGGTCGGGCGAGTTGCTCTTTCTTGTCCATGCCCTTCAAACATTACATACTTGCATGTTTTGTCATATCGAATGCAGTAGGCAGTACCAGCCTGTACTCTGAAGATTCCATGTGATTACTTACACAAATATTTGGAAATTCGGGGCTCACAGGGAATTCAGGGTATGCAGTGAATTTAGGGTTCACACAGGGTATACAGAGAGTTCAGCGTATATAGGGAATTCAAGGTTCACAAGGAATTCAGGGTATACGGGGAGTTCATGTTAAACAGGCAATTCAGGGTTCACGTCATGGAATTCCGGCTAGCAGAAAATTCAGGATATGCAGAGGATTTGCAGGCAGTTCAACTCACAGTCACAACATATTTTTTGTATCCCAGATCTTCATCTGATAAACTAAAACTGTACAGGGATGTAGAATATATTGTAATCAGATCTGAGCTGCTTGATTAGATAGCGAGGTAAGGTCACGGAAACCGTCATATCCTACATTCGCATTCGAGTTCATTAATGTGAGGTAATAGGGTGGTCCGAATGACTGATGTCATCAATACCACCCCTTTCAATTCCAAGTTAACAATGTCAATAGCATTTGATGTCAACGTCTAGAATTGATATCAATCGCAAGGCTGATGTTGTTCACACCAAATTCATACCAGTCTGGTGATGTCTTGCCAAGTTGATAAAGCCACTGTTTATATATATCTTATGATGTCATACCAATGTTATTATGCCATACCAGTCTGGTGATGTCTTGCCAAGTTGATGAAGTCACTGTTTATATATCTTATGATGTCATACCAATGTAATTATGTCATACCAGTCTGGTGATGTCTTGCCAAGTTGATAAAGCCACTGTGTATATATCTTATGATGTCATACCAATGTTATTATGCCATACCAGTCTGGAGATGTCTTGTCAAGTTGATAAAGTCACTGTTTATATATCTTATGATGTCATACCAATGTTATTATGTCATACCAGTCTGGTGATGTCTTGCCAAGTTGATGAAGTCACTGTTTATATATCTTATGATGTCATACGAATGTTATCATGTCATACCTGTTTGATGATGTAAATGATTCTCCCTAATCATGATTATGTCTCACCAAATGATGTCAATACCAAGTTGGTGATGCCAAAGCATTACATCATTAATTGCTCCCTCTAGGCAAGTAAATATCTTGAACACTAAAACAACAACCTAAATCAGCTAAGTTGATTGAAGTCAAGCCTGTTGGCCACTGGCACTTGGCATCAACATGATGTAATTATATAATTTACAAATCAACCTCATCGTGCATTCACATTTTTTCTAGCATATGGCCCTATCGTGAAAATATCTAGAACTCCCTCACAACGTTTTCCCATGATAGGTTTTCAGTTTTGTCTTTTCTCTTGGATGTTTTTAGAATGTTAGTCCTTACAGTTTTTATTTCTTATTGTCATCCTTTCTCAATTTTTCCAATTGTCAATACGTATATAAAATGAATATGATTTTATGGGTTAAATCAGTCAAATGTCTTTTTGTGAGAAAATAAAGTTTTGGGGTCCCACGGACAGATGAATAATATGACTTTATCGTTGATAAAAAACATGCAAAAATAAACTTACCTTTATTAACTAGCTATCCACAATTTAGGTTACAATATCACTATGTACACAACGAATCTCATTCAAAATTGAAGCATTTACAGAAGTTCCTGATATGAGTTCTAAAATAAAGTTGCCACGTTGACTCACCTGCGAAACCTATGCCTGTATTCCCGTTTCCATGACGTCTGATGATGAGGTAGGCTGATCTATCTGCCTCTAGCCTCTGTTACTAGTCTTTTTCACAGGTAAAAAGATCAACCGCCGACTCTATACGTACAAGCACTATCGGTGTAGTCTACACCATATCTCTATTTTTGGCTAAGGTGAAATTGGTTCGTAATTCTGAAGTAACATGTGGTCAAAGTCCTGCATGATACATTGGCAGCCCCCCCCTCCTTGGATGGGCCTTTTTGAGCCTTATTTTTTTTATTTAAGGCCAAATTATTAAGAAAATGGGCCTGCTTTTCAAAATTTTCGCGTGTTTTCAGACTTGAAATACCTGATACCTTAATACTTTTCATGCCCGGCCTTACTATGATATAGTCTTTCCGGAAGATGACTCGAATACTAGTTGACAGATTTTCTTCACATTTGTTGGAAAGATGCAACTTGAAATAATTCCAATTTCTAATTTCCCTTTAAAAATAAGAACGCTTTTTCTCAATTGATAATGAAGAAACATAAAGGAGTGGTAACTTTTTGAACACACGTTTCTCTTAAATCAGTCATCAAAAAATTCTGAAAATTTTACAGATCGTCAATTTAATGGTCATCCTTTGAACAGCAACAATAACATTTGGAAAAAATCAACCAAAACTTCCTTTGTATAACCGTAAGGTCTAAGAAAATGTTGTATATGCTATTTTGTTCCAACAAGGTTCGGAAAGACATTTTATTTCATTCTCAAGAAATGGTACAAAGGAACAAAAAAGAATTACACTAAAAAAAACAAAAAAATGTTAACAAAAACAGTTATATAGAATATATAGAAATAATTTTCGCATTAAATTGTTGCCAATCAGTCATCATTACATAAAATACCGTGTAATTTACAAAAACATTGTTCACCATATCAAAACCTATCCTTGAAACGGCAATTATGAAATTATGTGCATTATCTATGTGTCACTATTGTTGACAGACACAGACGGACGGATAGACGGATTGACAGATGAGTGAATGATTGCAATAGCTCACCATGTAAACAAACTATTATTTATTTGATGTATTGAACAATATTCATGTGTTTGCCTCTGTATTTAAATTAAGGGGGGGGGGGGTTACAAATTATTTTTACATGCAATACTCATATTTACGAATGACGTAAATCGAGAACGATTTTATAATCGAGAACGATTTTATGCTCGAGTTAAATCCACTGATCCTAAGAAAGTCGTATTTGTCATGTTCGAATCATTCATAAAAATACTTCGATAAGAGAGCCTGTACTAGAATTAGGACTAGACTCTCTATCGCTCCTTAAGTTAGTTTTCGAACTCCTCGTCGTGTTTTCACCCATAAATCGTTTCAACATTTGCTTCAGTTCTTTCAGCTCTTGATGAATATTATCATGCACAGTGGAGGTGTCAACGTCGTTGTGTTCCTGTTTATTTTCGGCGATCTTCTTATGGCCAAGGTAACGTTGAATCAGTTTGCTCATCAACAGTTGGTAGCTTTCCCTTTTACTTTCCAAGCTTCTGGCATTTTCGTCATCTATATAACAACATTTCAACAAAGAGCAGTGAGCCTGTTCCCTACCTAAACATTTCAAAGCCAACCACTTGGCAAATTTGCTGAAGCTTTTTGGACTCGGAATGAGGTTAAATGGAGGAGGGAGTGTCCCACCCTCTTCGAGGAAGCTCTGCCACACTTCGGTCCGAGCGAATTTCCACTCCACGTCTGCGTTATCAAATACCATTTGGTAGGAATTGGTCATCATGGCTATCAGCATGTTGAGCAATACAATGATTGCAATCACATGGTAAGCACCAAACATGAGAGCACCAACAGTTTGAGTAATTTCGTGTTTGTTGATGTATACGATAGTCTCATTCCCATCCTGTTTGGTATATGGAGATATGACAACATCGGCAGCATTTATTGGCGACATTGCGAATATAGCCCAAAATAAAGTTTTGACAGAATCTGTGAATGTTGTAAAAGCACCAAGTTGAGGTTTCTTTATTCCATTGCTGTCAATTATAAGTTGGCCACCGTAGTATGTATACAACTTGCTGAGGCCGGTGGAGAAGGAAAATATCACGATGAAGAAGATGCACAAGAATCTGCCGACATCAATGAACATCTTACTTATAGACACTTGGAGTGGACCGAGGGTATTGTTGACTTGGAAGAACTGAAGCACCCTCCCGAAAGCCATGATGGTGGCTATGGCAAGAGTGCATTCCGCCAAGAGAGTAGGGTCTGTCATCTCCCAGTATTTACGTTCGAGGAATTTATTGCCATTAACACGAACGTCATGATAAGCTACGACCCAGAGGATGAATGTCAGAAGGAAGACCATCATCATTATCATGTCGTACCTAAAACAACAGTGATAATCGTCGCTTTTATTAAGAACAACATAATGTACATATACGAAATTATCAATACGGTATGTAAGGATATACAAGTTTTAGTTGACGGACGTTACGATGTAGTATAAAATAGGATGGAAAGATATACAGATGAAATATATACTGGGAATAGTATATACGTTTTCTAGCTCAGATTACGGTCTTTCTTGATGAACACACTAAAGTACTTACCAATTCCACTTCTGAGAGAGGTATTTCTTTATTCCGTCCCCCCAGACTTGCTTGATCTCTTTCCAGAGCAGACCAAAGACGTAAATTGCAATTGCCCATTCCAGACCAGTATTCGGCGGTCCCCTTACGAAGTCCATTCTATCCCGATCATTTTGAATAAACAACATGACCAAGAAGGCCATGTACGAGGCGGAGTAATACAAGAATTTGTTCATCGGTGATTTTAGGGATTGGGCGAGCTTTGTATATGGTGCCACAAGATAAAAAACTGATGCGAGTGGAAGTGTGAATATTCTAAAAATCGCATGCGCAAGTTTCTGTGGATCATTATAAGCTTTCCATTCTATCCATTTTCCAACCCAGGCCATACGCAGAACTTGTTGACAGCTGTGGTGCGCCACGAATTCCTTCTGTTGGCAGTCCATGGCTTTGTCCAATCTTGGGAAACGTAACGTTTGGCCACCCTCATCTATACCATCTTTTGACCACTCGAGAAGTTCCTCAACTTCTTCTGTGGAACGGCATTGGTCTAGTAAAAGCACGGGGAATTTTTTTACCGAAGCTGCTAGGTCAGTATAATCTTTATGAAATTCTTTTTCGACAAATGCACACTCGGTGAGCTCAAGGCTTAGTTCGAATGCAGTAAGGATGGGATCGTCCGATGATTGGCAGATGTATGCCGGACTCGCCAGTGCTTTGTAGCAGTTCAGACGAGCAATAGATTCGACAAGACTTTCTCTTTCTTTCAGCTTTAGACAAACATCTCCACAGAAACATTTCGGAGAATGTGGTTTTTCAATCCGATGACCCCTCTTCATCAAAACCTTGATACATTCATAATGCTGTTGATGGGCTGCTAAGATCAGGGGTGTCATGTCAACTGAGAACTCTGTGCTTTCGTAGTCATCAGGCAAATAGGTTTCAGAACGATCGGTGTTCTTTAATTTATCCAGCAGAATCTCCATAATTCGGCAGTTGCCGATTAGGACAGCATGTAAAACACAATCTCCAATATTGATCTCATCGAACTGAGCAAAATATTCTACCATCGGAACATCTTCATTGTTAACAGCAATATGGAGTGCAGTGAATCCTTGGTAGTTTTGACAATTTATATCGAAATTCTCTTGATGGGAAATGAAATCAATAACGTCAATGACATCTCCATTATGGACAAGATTGAAAAATGCTTTCCCATCCTCGGATAAATCTGGAAGAAGCAAACTCGGCCTGTAAGCTAATGCCTTGCTATCGAGAACAAAATCCCGATCTGACTTTACATTTTCATAGTCGAAGTTAGGCCTTTTTGTCGTCTTCCTTTGAGGTTTATGATGCTTCCTCCAGCCAATAGCCGTTGTGATCGCAGCCGCCATACTCAAATTACCATTTTGTTTGAGTCCAACATCATCACAATCGTCATCTCTATTGGTGGTAATGACGTCATAAGACATTATTAAATGAGTTAACATCATTTCAACAAAATTTTCACAACAACAACGAAGGTTAGAAATGTGTCTCCTTAACCCACGATAAGTTCCTGTGTCTAGGCTCAATAAATATCAATAGGGGCTAGATCTGGCTCCGGATCTGTGCCTTAACCCAGTCCGTATTTTATGACAATAGTACGATATCTCGTACGATAACAAATAGATAATAAACTGCCCCAAATATGAAGTGTCGATGTCCGGTGTAAAAGAAATTATGGTCCCCTAGGGATTATGGTCCCATTTTCTTACGGCCCTTACTGGCCCCGACTGTGTAGGCCTATAAATAACTAGACTTTGGAAATTGAACGAAGTTCAATTTCAGACTCCAGATCTAGACTTTTTTAAGCCCAGTCATCTAAAATAAGCCGAGTCATCCAGAATAAGCCGAGTCATCCAGAATAAGATGGATGGATAAAATAGGAAGGTAGGATAGGATAGAATGGGAAGGAACGATAGGATAGAATAAGAAAGAAGGATAGGATAGAACAGAATAGGAAGAAAGGATATGATAGGAGAGGATAGGAAGGAAAAGATACGAAGGAAGGATAGATAGGAAGGATAGGATCAGATAGGAAGGATGGATGGACGAATTTTTCAATATTTTCTTCTCTACTCTTGACTTTCTATAAGGATACCATCAGATCAATTTTCCGAAATTTCAAAACGCCATAACTTCCGAACCAGAAGTCGGATCAAAATTTGATTTTAAGATTCGGATTCCTGACAAAATTCTACCCCTAATTCATAACTCATATGTTAAATTTGGCAAATTTTTATTTTGACCTACTTTTTGGACACGCCATAACTTCGGAACCGGAAGTCGGATCAAAATTTGGTTTGCAGATTCAGATTTCTGAGAAAATTCTATTCTTAATTCTTAACTCAAACATTAAATTTGGGGAACTTTTTATTTTGACCTACTTTTCGGACACCATATCTCAAAAGTGGGTCAAAATACTTTCTGACGGCAAAAGGCTAACGCTATAAGCACACTCTTGGCTACATGTATACACAATTTCGTAGAATATAATTAAGTGTAGTGTCAGAATCGCAAAAATAAGAAAAAACTTTGAATTTGACCTAGATTTTGACCTAGGCATTTTGGTGTCCAAATTTTGAAGCTATGTGGCTTTTGAAGTCCCCTTCTTATAAAGGCTTTGATTATACGAAGCTTAAATCAGTCTACATTTCGTATTCTTCACTTCAAAAAAATCTTTTTTCCCATTGACTTAACATGGGCACCAAATTTAGCGATTTTTGAGCTTTCAAAACGCCATAACTTCCGAACCGGAAGTCCAATCCAAATTTGATTTGCAGATTCGGATTCCTGAGATCATTTTACACTTATTTCATAACTCACATGTTAAATTTGGAGAACTTTTTTGTTCTGACCTATTTTCCGGACGCCATATCTCAAAATCTGTAACAGTAATCAAAAATCTGATGGCACATTTATGAAAGGGCTGTTTCTAAGCTACATGATGAAAAAAAGACAAAGTTGTTTCGATAAATAATGACGAAAATAATAGACAGCGTTAAGATTTGACCTAGTTCTTGACCTTTGACCTAGATAAAAAATTGACCCAATTTCCGAGAAACTAGATACTGGACCTAAATTGACCATATGCAGGACTTGACTCAATGTCTTCTAGTTACTGAGAAAACGTGTAGAGAATAATAAAGAAGAAGAAGAATACTGACAAAAGCTATAGACTCCAGATTTACATCTGGAGTCTAATAAGGAAAATAATTGTAATCAGGTCCCCATATAAATCGATTGAGAGTAGGACCAAAAATTGATAGGACCACCTACTCTGTTACACCTGTACTCCGCCACAAGAAAATAAATATACGGTTTGAAGGTACTGACTGCCCTCCTTGAGAAAATATATTAACTTTTGATTGTGATAGGGGCGTTTGCCTCTAAAATGAGGTCACACAAGGTTGACCATCTAAATCAACTGTATACCCATATTTTTTAACCACATAACTGCATTTCAAATATGATATCATTAGTAGTGTAAGTTCTTTTGATTAATAAGAGAATATAGAATTTGGAAAGTGTCAAAAGATTGTTCCCAGAGGATGCAAATGTCTGCAATTGTAATTTGTGCTATGTTTTGGTGTCACTTTGTTTGAACTAATAAATTTAAAAACATTGTACAATAGTAAGGGTAATGACGTGTATAGAAGGTAACTTTCCAGAAATAAACATCTATGATGGCATGTCTTGGGAATATGATGATATCTCCATGTTAAGTCAATACATCTTTCCTCAAATCCTTATTTTTTTTTAGTGGAAGCCCCCGTTACCTGAAAAATGTTACATAATCCAGTGTGGAGCATATGTGTAGACGCACTACATATACACTATTATATGTAGTAGTTGATTTTTGGACATTCGGAAAACCAACTTCTTATCTAGAGCTCTTAAAAATCAGCCCGGGGACTACAAGTAAAAACCTGCATTTTGTGTACAACGGTAATCAATATTTTCCACAAGGTAGATATAAAGATGGCAGTAATGGTTCTTATTTCTTCAGTAAGTTTAAAGTGAATCCATTTCCCTGGTAGTATAAATTGCCAAAAATATATCGAAACTTATACTTATGGCATACAGTGTTCACAGTAAAAATTCAATTCAACCTTACATACCAGGTTCTCCAAACTGTAAATTTTTTGAGGCACTGGTTAATGCAAGTTGTTTCACTTGACGGAGTTAAGTATGATGGACGAACATACTTTTCAGTTCAACATTACAATTATTCAAAGACATGCTCAGATTGAAATTATGTACCTCAACCCATTTGCATTCAGTCTAGGCAAAAACTACCTAGAGCATAAAACATGTAAAACTTTGATCTGTGTCAATAGTAGAGATTATATGATAAATGATCAGGTTTGAGGCCATATGGCAAATTATACTCTATTCGCAATGATGTACTTATTGATATCTAGCTAAAACATGACTAAATGAGGCCCTGGATGTTGAAATCCAAAAAGTCAACTCCACAGACTAGCAAATCCGACCAAAAAAGTATTCCAATTCAGTATTCATGAATCTTAAATAATTGATTTTTTCATACAGAAATAAATTTCTCTATTCATTAAATCATCCTCACCAGAAGTATGAAATATAAGGAGTTTTCAACTTTATAGCCTCATAACTAAACCTCATACATGTCACAGGTTAATCAACATTTCAATTTTCAAATAGTACACCATCCCATTCATCTCAAAACTAGACCTTTGGACTTCATGTTCTTACTTAACCAGCTGAAAAGTATCGTCATATTTAAACAATTAGTCCCTTAAAGTAGATAAAACATTACATTTTTCAATTGCATATTGCTTTCTCCTGTTAACCCAACTCACTCCTATGTTATATGGAGAGCCTAGCATGTAATTCTAAACAATGGAAAATTGTTCAAATTGTCTTCAATGAGAACACAAGAGGTTATGTAAACTAAACAAGCAGATTATGACTTTATTTGATCTATAACACACAGGTACAAACATTCTATGCAAGAATCAAGGTAACAGAATAAAAGTACAAATTTTCATATGTAAATGTTCAGATCTATCCTCTATAATACAACAATATGTACTGAATGACTGGGGAACCAGACACAACTTAGACCATTTCAATTAACAAATCAGATGGATTTATTAATTGGTTTCATTGAAAATGAAATAAGTGAGTTGGTTGGCATGAAATAGCACAATATTTGTGTGAATTTTATGGTCACCATATCAACAATTTCAAAATTCAAATTCAAATCTAGTATCTGATCCCCTAGGCAGTGGTACATGAACTGATCAATATTTCAATATATCTTTGTACTAAATGTACACAGTGTTTAGAAATCACATGCTCTATGTGTTGACTTTATACAGATATATGCATATATATAACTAAAATTAGAGTATTACATTACAGACATGAATAAAACAGTTTGTGAAATAGAGATTCGAAACATAATATCAAAGAACAGATCTAGTCAGACAATAAGAACATTAAAAGTGAGAGATATGATAAAACAAGTGAAAGTCATTCTGAGATTACTAAAAAGGTTCGTTTCTGATTCTGAATGAATTATACAATGAAAAGAAACTGCTGATAGGCTAAGATCAATATATAATATAATAAATGTTGATTAATTTAAATAAGGTCTGCCTGTAATACAGGTACATGTAGATACATGTTCCATTATCATACGATGTAAATGTCCATGTTAATCTTTATTATGAGCATATTATATAATAATGGTCTCTCTCTCTCTAGTCTACAATAATCAATACTCATACTATAATCAGTTAATTGGTGGACTCCATCTGCCACCATTTCACTGTGTGTCTAAGGGTGATCAAATATACATATGTTATCATCTACATTATATCCAATTTAGAAACAGAGACAGCCAAGCAGTGTTGCTTATATTTGAAGCATCTGGTTTGATGAACTCCTGTTGTAGTTTTGGATCCTTAGCTTATACCGCTGTAATATCTGATCATATATAACTACTCTGGTAAACACATTCTCAATATAGATGATATACAGCTTTCCATATCCAAGCATGGGAGTTAACACCAGTACCAGCCATGTTATGTTAGTATTTGCATAATTTATTGTACATTCACTGCTGCCTTGTTTTAGCCACTGATTGGATGTCTCATATTCTGGAATTTCCTATGGTTCTGAAGTTTATTGCTTCGATAGTCTGTTTTTGCAGGCAAACTGTATGATGTGAACACCTGCCCAGAAGGCTGCCAGAAAGCCGAATGATAACGCAAGGGACACTCCGACATGTAAGCCAGAATTGAAGTCCTTCCTGATGTCGATGCCTGAAATAACAGCCATATTTTTTTAGAATAGAACAGGAAAACAGTTGCAGGGCTCAAAATTGCCAGGAGCAAATATGCTCTTTAAAATCAGACAACTAC